AGGGAGTCCCAGAAGGAGCGCAAGAGCCTCCCGGCCCCCGGCGCGCAGCAGCCCGACAGCACCGGGGCCGGCCCGCAGCCGCCCGGTACGCCCCCGGGGGGGCACGGTGGGCAGGAGAGGACGGAGAACGGGGTCACAGAGGTCACCCTCAGCCGCCCACGACCCCACTGGGAGACTGGGGTCGCTGGAACCTGCTGCAGAGAGCGGAGGGGGCTCGGGGAGCAGTTGGTTGAGTTGAGGGTCCTTGTGGCTGAGAAAAGAGACGGGGATGGGGGGGTGGCACGCCCATTCTGGCCTCTCCCGGTCCCTTCTGGGGGTTGGGGGAGTGCAGGCTTGGGGTGGGGGTCTCAGAGCCCCGGAACTGAGCCTTTCCAAGTTGGGCAAAGTTGAGGGATATTGCTGGGGTGCCGTGTGGGGGCTAAAAGTGAGGTCGCTATCCCAGGGCTCTCAAATCTAGAGCCAGCAGGGACTTTCTCCTCCTGCAGCCCAAGCTCTGCAAGATTCGGGTTGGGAGGCAGGAGAACCGTGGTGGGGGGGAGCGCCTCCGGCCCCTGGGTGCAGCGAGAGCAGGGGTTTGCGGCCCGGGGCCGAGGGTGATGCCTCTGTGATGGAGGGAAGGCCTGGTGACCGCGGGGGGCCTGTGACGTCAGGGCCGTGAGCGGAATGCGGCGGGTGGACGCGGGTGCTGGCGCCTTCCGAGCCGTGCCTGCACCCGGCCCCTTACGGCTTCCAGCAGTCAGCCGGCATCGTGTTGCATCACTGCACGTAGTGTTGATGGGATGTGTAAGTTGTCGGTGACTCAGGCTGCTTTAAGAAGAACGTTTTAACCTTTCCGACAGGCATATTCTAAGTTCTCCCTCCCTGCTTAGCCAGAAGGTCCAGTGCGAAGCTTGGTGTACTACTGTCTATCTGGGGAGGGAGGGTGTGCGAGTCGTTTCTCACCTGAACTGCAGCAGTGGCATAGTCAGCAAGACTCCACCCGTGTTTCCTGTTTTCCTAAAATTAGGCAGTGGTCCTAAGGTTTGACTATATAGTTCGACTGCTTCAGCCAATGTTCGGCGGTGTAGTCAGCTCGTCTTTACTGGCTTGCTCTTTGCTTGATAGAAACTGTGCATCCCAGCCGTGAGAGAACAACTCCTGAGTTGAGTGTTGGGGCTTTGACTCCTACACCTAGGTAACGTTGACTTTTATCTGTGGAAAGGTCAGTGCAGCAATATTGCTTGAGAATCAGAAAGTCAAGTCACTGTAATAAAGATGTTGAAAATTGTTTAAAATGCTTTTGGATATCTCAAGACCTCTTGGTAGGCCAGTAAGTTTATGAGCCTATTTAAACAGTGATATAAACTTGAGATATAATGTACATTTTTTGTATTCCATTTTTTCTCGTAAATCTATTTAGATAAATATCACAATAATAAAAGAATTGAAGAAAGCTAAGCTTTTTCTCTCCCTTTATTTTTTTAACAAATGGAAGTAAATATTTTATCCTTTAGAATAGTGTGAAACTGCATTTGGTGCTAATATATCACTTTTTAACCTTTTGAAAATTTAAAATATCATGCATTTTTGTTTTAAGATTTTAAATAATTGAGAAACGTATGAAAGTGAAAATCCCGTATTTTTCCTACTGTTAACACCTTGCATTTATATACATAAATGCACAAAGCTATTTTTTCCTAAAATGATACAAACTGAGCTGCAACCTGCTTCTTTCACTTAGCGTTGTAGTCTAGTTTAAAACTTTTTTTCAGTCAATTGTTTGTGATCCAGGTGGTCTGGCTTTTGAGATGTGTATTAAAGATCTTTAGTTAATTTTGTAGTTAAAATGGAGATCTTGTCATTCTGGTTCTTTTTCAAGTGTGTTCTTTCAGAAGCAAACAGCTCATAATTTCCATTTATGTAGTTACTGTACTAAATTTATCTGTAATGGGTGTTAGAGAGCTACTCTCTCGAGGTTTGTAGCCCTAATTGTATTGGACTGTACTTTTCTAACACTCAAAATTTTTAATTTAGTTAGAATATTATAAGTGAATGCTTAGTGCAGATAAGAATCAAAGGCAAAACAGGTTTGACATATAATGGAAACATTTATTAATCTCAAAAGGATGTGGAAATCATAAGATTTTCCCGTGGAAATGGAGATTTTTTAATGTCCTTAACTATTTGACAGTGTACGTAGACCCTCGGGTGAGCTTTGCTCCATAAATTCCTCCTGAAGTCCTCAGGGACTCTTCAGCTTTGCTGTCCCTAGCCTTTCAGGACTGTTGTCCTTGGTCAAAGCTCAACTTTATTTTGTAGGAACTGTCACTGTGTATTTTACTCTATTCTGTCTCTTCATATGGGTTTGGGTTTAGGTCAGTGATCAGACTGCTTGTGCCAGCCTTTATTGGAAAGGGCCAGTGAAATTCAGTTTTTGCCCTCTCCTCTTGGAGCTGCTGATCCAGCACAGAAAAACTAGGTTCGGCTGCAGTCTTGATCTCTTAGTGCTCAATTGTGGGAAAAAAACCGGACCCCTGTTATCTTTGTCTTTTTGGTTTTAGGAGAATGAAGTGTTTGCAGGGTATTGATAATTATTCTAATAAGTAGCCAATCATATTTAATGGTTTTCAAGTTATACACAGAAACTTTGGAAGAAGCTTTAATATAAATTATACAGTAAATGTCATTTTAAGGTTTGAATGGTGAATTCCAAATTTAATTGATACAATTTAAAAATAACCTTGAGGAAGCAGAAAGAAGGTGGGATAAGCCCCTAAGTAATTCTGTCGTTGAGTGGAGATATTAAGATTTTTTTTTTAAATTACAGGTTATAAATAGGAAATTTGAAGCTGTATTAAGATAACTTCTTTTTTTTTGTTTTGTTTTTGTGAGGAAGATCAGCCCTGAGCTAACACCTGCCAATCCTTCTCTTTTTGCTGAGGAAGACTGGCCCTAGGCTAACATCCATGTCCATCTTCCTCCACTTTATATGGGACACCGCCACAGCATGGCTCGACAAGCAGTGCATCGGTGCGCGCCCCGGATCCGAACTGGCGAACCCCGGGCCGCCACAGCAGAGTGCGCGCACCCAACCGCCTGTGCCACCGGGCCGGCCCCTAAAATAACTTTTTACATTGAGGGAAAAGTATTGAAAAGGATTTAACTGTTGACATATTTGCTGATGGCGGCGTCCTTCTAGTTCTTCTATGTGGGACGCCGCCTCAGCATGGCTTGATGAGCGGTGCGTAGGTCCATGCCCAGGGTCTGAACCAGCGGACACCAGGCTGCCGAAGTGGAACGTGCGAACTTAACTGCTTTGCCACCAGGCTGGCCCCAGCTTTTTCTACCTTACATTTTGGATGCCTCTTCCGCATTTGGTCTCTGTCAGTGATGCATGTGCCTTGGGTCTGGCATTGTGTACTCCTGGGCAACTGGGCACGAGTGTCAGTCTCTGTTTGTTTCTGCAATAAAAGTATAATGCTCTATTTATGGTAACATCTTTCCAATATCCTACATATGTCAAAAGCTCGGATTGTTACATCAGTACAGGATGCAAATGGGATTTAAACATTTCTAGGTTTAATGTGACATTAACTTAAGATTAAACTTAGATCTGTTGTGCAATTTTGCACATTTGAAAAAAATACTTTATGTTAACTAACAAGTAATAAATTGCACAATTTTATGTTGGTGTCACAGACATTATTTTTTTATTTTTATTTTTTTAATTTTATTTATTTATTTATTTTTTCCCCCAAAGCCCCAGTAGATAGTTGTATGTCATAGTTGCACATCCTTCTAGTTGCTGTATGTGGGATGCGGCCTCAGCATGGCCAGAGAAGCAGTGCATCGGTGCGCACCCGGGATCAGAACCCCGGCCGCCAGCATCGGAGCGCACGCACTTAACTGCTAAGCCACGGGGCCAGCCCTCGCAGACATTATTTTTGCTTTAAAATGAGATCAGTAACGTATTGGAACTATGTTAATATTTCCATGTGCCCAGTTTATAAAGTTTAGATAGGAAATATTAAGTGGAAAAATGGAAAAATATGTATAAACATATATTCCTTAAGAGTCATGTGTATCTAAGAAGGAAAATCTGGCAGTTAAAAAGATACGTATTAATTTGAATACATTTAATATTTTTATAGCCATACAACCCATGGGAAGGGCAATTTATACCAAGAAAAATCGAAGCCATTATAATAAAAATTGTACATAATGTTTGAGATGGAGACCTTTTAAATGTATACAAGGGAAACATAAGCATACATTTTTGGAAGATGATTTAAGAAGTAACAAAGTTCCTCACAACATATTTTTTTTGTTTTTTTTAATGTTTTGTTTATTGCAGTAACATTGGTTTATAACATTGTATAAATTTCAGGTGTACATCATTATACTTCTATTTCTGCGTAGATTACATCATGTTCACCACCCAAATACTAACTACAACCCATCACCACACACGTGCCAAATTATCCCTTCTGCCCCGCTCCCTGCCCCCTTCCCCTCTGGTAACCACCAATCCAATCTCCCAACATATTTATCAAGTGTTAGATGCCTTCAAACATAGATTCTGCTTAAACTTGTTAAAGCGTCAAAACTAAAGAGGAGTAAAGTGAGAGGAGACAAGGCAAGATTGGGGTGGCCATGGCCCCGGCCCCCCTGAGTGCTGGCCTCCGTGGATGAGAGATGCCCCTTCAAGTGCTCCCTGGCCCTTGTATGAGTTGGCAAAAAGCAGTTTGGCCTCATATTTAAGAAGTATGATCATGAATGTATAAATCCCATCAAATAGCAGGGAAGTCTGTTTTAAAATGAAAAACATACGGCGATATAAACTGTTTAAAAACGAAAACCTTAGTAGTTGATGATAAACCACAGTTGGAGTTCCAAAAGTACAATGTGAAATACAGGGTGTTGACCTTTTAATTTTCTGGATGGAGCTAGGCTACCATGTTTTGATAAAGCTGCTATTGTGAAATGTAGTTGATTTAGCAAATATCTTTATCCTTCGCTATCACAGAGTCATTGTGAGATACCTGTAATTATAGGTTAGTTGGAATAGTTTTATTATAATTTCTAAGACATAAGGGGAAGCATGTGATTAAATAGTAACTTAAAAGTTTTATTGAAAAGTAGTTGACTCCCGGCAGTAGTAGTATCAACAACTTTTTTCCTTCTCTGAACTTGTCCAACCCAAATTTTCCTATGACATTGATTTCTAGAAAAGTGAAATTTAAAAGTTCCTATACATAATGTGCTGTCAACAGACCCTGTGTTCCAGCTCTCCCTTTTGATGTTTTGATGGCAGGCCAGAAACGAACTCCTAGAAGAGGGGAGCAGCAAGGATGGAATGACAGCCGGGGGTCAGAGGTGACGCTTGACAGAGCAGAGCGGAGATCCTACAGGGAGTATCGACCCTGTGAGACGGAGAGGCAGGAGGACTTTACAGCGGAGAAGTTTACAGATGAAAAGTATGTACTGCAGACCTCCGCCAGGAGGGCTGGGGAGCAGAAGGGGTTTTCGGAGAACCGCTAGCCTTTGCCACCTTTTTGTGGTGCTGGTCTTGGGAGTACTTTGCCAATTTAAGTAGCAAATCGTATTACTTCAGGAGACACATGAAGGATCTTCTGTTTATCTCAGATGACTTTAAGTCGCGGTTCAGGAAATGACTGTACGATGGAAAATGAATTGTTTGCTGGTAACTATGAAAAGCACTCTCATAAAAACATACAGGAGTGTGTTAAATGGGTTAAATGTCTTTTGAAGTTTAGGCTAGGGATATTTTTATGTTTTTTATTTAGTTAATGCTAAATTAGACTACTAATGAATTTAAACAAATTCCTAGCCCCATGGTCAGGTCAATAGGCTATCATGATGAAATTTGAAGAAAAACTAATAGAATGTGTAACACCAATTTCTGGCTCCCATACCTTCTCTAGAAAGTGCTCTGACCTGAAAGATGGTCTTGGGCTGGTGCAATCTGAATGATCAGCATGCAGGCTATCTGTGCCCATCTGTACACAGGTGGCAGTTCTTTATGTCTTACGCTTGGCACTATCAAGAAGGATGCTTGCTGCCTAAAGTTTTCATTTACTTTTTAAGCATACAAAGCACTGAGTTTAGTTTAAATAGAAGCACCCTATGAAACACATTTAAAGGAAAATAAAGTTAAAAAGCTAAGGAAGACTAGAATAGTGTACAGTTTAATGTCAAGGGAGCCATTATTCCCAAAGTCTTTTAACTTCTTGACTACTAAGTCTACTTAAGATCCTGGCTACAAGGTTTAACCAAAGAACATGGCTTTGTAAAACCGTACTCTAGAGTCTGTTAAAACAAACCAAAAAAAAAGGTCCAGCAGAGACTAGCTCAGTTGGAGAAGGCTGAGCAGGTGGTGACTTCTGCAGATCTGTTCCCTAGAAGTTACACATTCAAAACATCGAGATAGTGTATCTGCCACCATGTGGGAGGGAGAGGGTTAGAGAAAGGCGTAATTCTGCTTTTTTTGGTGATTACTTCAAATTTGCTGTGTAATGGCCACAGTCTGCTTGCTTACAAGAAGTCTTCTGAATCAGAGCTGCTTAGTTTTGGAGGTATTTGTGAATTTTTCTTTTCCTCACTTGAGGGATTTATTCTGTGGAAATAAGGAAATTATAGTTCAAAAACACAAACCTGAATTGCCACCTTTTTTTTTTTAGTAGCAACACAATGAGTCTTTAGAAAGTGTAAGATAGGTCTTTATATGTTAACATGAAAAGATGCCTATTAAGTGAAATCACAAATGTGTGTAAGGGTAGGAGAAGGGTGGGATATGGGATTATGGAGGGATTTTTTTTTTTTTAAATAATTTCAGCTTTACAAAAAGTTGTAAGAATTATACAAAGAATTTCCATCTGCCCTCACCCAGATTCCCCAAATGTTAACATTTTACCACGTTTGCTTTATGAGACTCTTCCTCCCTCCTTCCTTCCCTCTCTTCTCTCCCCCTACACAAACACACACACACACACACACACACACACACACACACACACACTCCCTCTCTCTCTCAAATTTTACCAGTTGTCTAATAACGTCCTTTTAGCATAACGTCCTTTTAGCAAAAGAAAAAAATGTCTGGTTCAGGATCCAGTCCAAGAATGTACATTGCGTTTAGTCTTCTTTAATTTGGAACAGCTCCTTAGTCTTCCTTTACCTTTAGGAGTTTGATGTTTCTGAAGAATATGGGCCAGTTGTTTTTATAGAACTGCCGGATTTTGAGTCTGTTGGTGTTTCCTTGTGGAACGAGATTATGCGTTTTTGTAGGGATAAGACAGGAGTGATGTCTTGTGTCCTTCTCAGTGTATCACATTAGGAATACGTAGGGAATTTTTACTTTTAAGGAAATTTGAATTTTTTTTTGATAAGTCATGTGCTACCAGAAAAGATATTTTCCTTAGCTTCTTAAAAAGTACTCTTCTGTTAGTAAAGGTCAATAAGATATTTAATAAAAATAACGTATCATCACTTGAGACAATTTGGAAAATGCATAAAATTATAAAGAAAATGAAAATAGCCTATCTTACCATCTGAGATAATTACTCTTAACATTTGGACTATTTTCTTCCCTTTTTTGTACATAGATATATGTTAAGATGGTAATGCATGTGCCCTGAGTTCTTTATATTCTTTCTTTTCCGCTTGACGTGGCAGAAGTCTTTTCCATGTCATTAACAATGGTGGGTAAGCATTTTTAATGGTTCTATTGTGATCTATTGTTTGGATTATTATAATGTAATCATTCCCTTCGTGTTGGATGTTTGCTCGGCTTCTGGTTTTTTGCTTTGTAAATAATGCCCAGTGAGCAGCTTTTTATATATGTAGGGTCTTTCCTAGATGGAGTTCTAGAAGTGAGAATCGCAGTTAGGGTCATAAAGCAGTGGTTCTCAGCTGAGTGTCGTGTATCCAAATCTGGGACCCAGCTCGTGCTTCAGCGCAAGGTTGGATGGGTACATGTACTGTGAAAACAAACTCAGCTTGGGTGGAGGGGGCTGTTGATCCATAGTGACAAATCACTCTCCTAGGAACCTGTCAGTTTACTCTATCACTAATACTCAATACGATCGTTTCTCCTAGCACTTTATCCAGACCTGAATATAGTACATTAAATGGTATCACTTGGCATTTCTATGATACCTATACATGTTTATTGGACAGAATTATAGAATCTTGATCATCTTAACAGAGTATCTAATTCAGTCCTCTCAATTTATGAATGAGGAAACAGGCCCAGAGTTTCAGCGATGTGTGGTACTCTGGTCACAGCCAGCTGACCTGGATTTTTCTTCCATGGAGGCAGAACACATGTTTTCACATCGAGGCAGTGTCATCAGTGGTGCTGGGAGTAACTGTCAGTGTAGCTCAGGTCCAGAGTTCAGCCATGTCAGTTGTGTATAGTCTGGGAGTGCAACTACTGTTTTTAATGCAGTAGGAATTTTTCTTTAGGCTCCAAATGATGGACTTAAGTGAACTCAGAACATAGGCTATTAGGAAATTAGTCTGCCTCTGTCTGGATATGTGTTGGCTCTTTCTGTGGTTTACTGCTGCTCATTTAAAGTCAGTTTCAGTTCTGAAAGAATCACTTACTCAGATGTTTAAAATTTTTCTCTCCTCATAAGGAAGCATTTTTTTAAATTGTGGTAAGCTATAATAACATAAGATTTACCATTTAACCACTTTTAAGTGTACAGTTCAGTGGTATTAAGTACATTCATATTATTGTGCAACCATCACCACCATCCATCTCCAGAACTTTCTCATCTTCCTCAACTGAAACTTTGTACCCATTAAACACTGACTCCCTGTTCCCCCCTCTGTGAGCTTCATTCCCTTTACCTGTAAAACGGGTCCTCATGTCTACTTAATAGGATTGTTGTAAGAGAGTGGTTTACAGGTGTGTAAAGCAGGATGCTTGGTCAGATGTTATTTTCCTTCCTTGCTTGTGAGTACATCACAAATAAAGCATCCTAAGTGGAGACAAGATTTCTTAACACTCACCAACCTGTAAAAGAGGATGTATTTTATAAGAAGGGGATTATAAAGAAGCAATTGAAAATATATTTAATTGGGGGTGGGAGTGGGGATAAACCTGTGGAGTAAAGAAAAAATGGTTTAAGGGATTAAAATATACCAGAACACACAGGGCTATTTTTAGGGTCAGTTTCAATCACTGTTATATTTTAAATGAATTTGTTATTTTGTTGGTAGCTGATCTAGATTTCATGTAAATTTAGACCAGATTTTGACTGTTGGCATTGTTTTTCATGTATGTTTTTGTGCTTCATTTCCTCTCAATTTCTAGGTAGACTTTGTTTCTTTTATGGCCCTGTCCAACTTCCTGGCTAAGATCTACTGTTACTTTTCTTTTGTCATTGTTTGAGAACTCTTATCTAGATATTTATTGTAATGTGGAATAGATTTTACAACAATCTCTGTTTAAGAATCTGGTTTTAGTCAGAGGGGTTGGGAGACAGAAAAGCTGACTTAGGGAATTTATTTAGGATGGTGTTTCTTGTCAGAGACTGTCGTGAAGTTAATGATCTGTGCTTCTGTATTTCTTTATCTTTTTGAGTAAGGAAAATTGTGAGTTTTGTATCTTTTTACCCACGATCATACAGTAGCCTTTTAATGTAACATTTTCAGCCATAAAAGTAGACTGGAACATACCTCTAGTTCTGGTGTTTGAGCCACTAGATTTCAATAAGTAATTTGTTGTCGTTTTAAATGTTTTTAAAAGCCTTGACAAATTTAAAAATATAATTTATCTTACTAAACTAATGCTAAAACGATGAAAAAGATGTGGTCTTTCCTGCAGGAGCTTCAAGTCTAGTGGAGGAGAGGCAAGTCCTCATAAAAAGTGATGGCGACAAGAGACTTGGCAGAGAACAGGTGTGAGGAGAAGTGGGCAGGCGGTCAGGCCCTGGATCTGGCCCAAGTGGCAGGGGAAGAAGGGAGGAGTGGAGAGGGGCCTGGTTCTTGGCTTGGGTACTCTCGTGAGTCAGGAACCGTAGGAGGAGCAAGGGGTCAGTGTTGATCATATATCTGCAAAGCTGGGGGATACACTGAGGGGGATGTCCAGGAAGTAACTGGCTTTGTGGGCTGGAATCAGAGAGACCCCCAAATGAGAGACACAGGGTCACATGAATGCGGGTCATGTAGCACTAGCATAGAGGCAAGGACGATGTGTGCCGGGGCTGGGGAGTCGGTAATGCTGATGCGCTTAAGGACAAACAAGTATCCTAAAGAAAGAGGGGGCAGCTGGGTGCCGAGCGCCAAGACGTGTCATATGCGAGAGGTGAGGTGCTGAACTTCCCCTTCCTGTGACTCTGGAGGTGACTGCCTCTGAGAAGTGGAATGGGATGGCTGAAGAGCAAGGAGGGTACCTTTTGAATTACCTTGCGAATTTTGTACTGTGTTGGGGTATTCTGATTCCAAAAATAATTTTTTAAGGACAGGCAGGGAAAGAGAAGCCAGAAAGGTCAGAGGAAAATGAGTGGTCAGCAGTGTCAAATGATGAATAGAGGTCAAATGAGATAAAGACAAAGGTTGCTACTGGATATAACAGCAAAAACGTGGGTCTTCAGCTGTCCTTGGAAGTGTATGTGGAGCAGTGGGGGTAGAAGTCAGGTTGTTGTAGGTTAGTGTTTTCAGCCTCAAATGTCACTGACTGGTTGAGTGTTTGGGAAGGGCATGATTTGAAGTTTAACTATTTTTCTCATTATACAAGAGATTCCAAATTTAACTTAAATATTTAGTATTAGAACTGGAATGAACCTTGGAGTTTGTTTATCTAACTTCCTCATTTTATAACAGAGGGAACCAGATCCAGAGAGAGGAAGGGGTGCCCCTGCAGATTAACGTAAGGCCTCTGCCGGCCTGCCTCTCCTGGCTGCCTCCCCCCTGAGCAGCTGTTAAGATCTTGGTCGGGCTCCCTGCCTCCTCTGTGGCTCGGCTTCCTCGCCTGTGGACGTAGTTGTGTAGTGTAGATTTGTTTGTGAGAATTAAATTACTGTATGTGAAGGGCTCAGAATAATGCCAGGGATGGTATGTATTCAGTAAAAGTTAACTACTAATTTGTTATTCAAGCCACCACTCTTTCTAATATACTGTAGCCATAATGTCCTTCTAGAATGTTTTTTCTCAAAAAAGCCTTAGCCCTTTAATCCAATTCACCACTTTTTATTATACCCATCTCTTCCCAGACCAATTGACAGGTTTGATCGAGACAGACCACTGAGAGGGCGTGGAGGTCCAAGAGGGGGCATGCGAAGCAGAGGCAGAGGTGGTCCTGGGAACAGAGCTTTTGACGGTTTTGACCAGAGAGGGAGACGAGAATTTGAAAGATATGGTGGGAATGATAAAATGTAAGTTTCTTTGTAAATGCTAATTACACTGTAAGATCTTGGTAATACGTGGTATGAATCTGTTATGTGTTAATATTTAATTGACTTTATATTAGTAAGCTCTTATTCCTGAGGGAGCTGATCCTGGGACAGCTTTTATGATCAACTTTTCTGATTTGGAGATTGACTGGAAACCAGCTTCCAGTGTAAGGAATATTCTTTCTTTCTCTAGAGCAATCAGAACTGAAGACAACATTGGTGGGTGTGGAGTTCGCACCTGGGGATCAGGTAGAGATACCAGGTACGGTGGGAATGTCTGCCTCCTGTGAACGTACAATTCAGTAGAAGTCTCTGGGTCTTTGTTTGCCTTTCTTGAAAATTACGTCCTGTGTGCTGTGTTTGCTGTGTCTTCGTACTTGTGTGTCCTAATGTAGTGATTGATTTTAGGTTTTTGTTTAGTGAGATAACTTTTTTAAATGGGTTGATATGTTGCAATTAGATTTGAAAACTGCTTTTAAAATTCTTTTATTTTATCTTATTTTAGCCAAACAAATTCGTGTATTTGCTGATGCCCCAAGCACATGGACTATACATATGCATATGCCTCAGAATGCTTTTTAAATTCCTGGATATTCTATACTTTATTTTCTGTGACCTTCCAAAGTTCTAGTATACATCGCATCAATGACAGGTTTCCCCTGAGGTTCAAATGTGACATTTCTCTGCGGCTTCATGGTGTCTCAGATCTGTGCCGGTTTTGCTGATTAGAGGAGTTGCTTGCTTCTGCTGTTTCTGCCATTTCATGGCTGCAGGGGTGATGCCTTTCTGGCATCTGCAAAGGAGTAGGCAGGCTGTACTTCTGGGTGGTGCAGGAGAGGAATGGGGCGTGTCTTTCTAGAAGTTTGAAGGCTTGAGGGGATCCAGACTTCTACGTTTCTTCTTTTGAAGAATATAAGCTTTTTACATAGACTATTTTTCTTAAATTGTTGTCCTTAAAGACAAATGTATAAGACAATACCAAATGTAGTATTAGATTTACTATCATTGCACATCTGTGTTGTCCTTGGAAGGAAGAGAAACTTGTTGAATGTTTCTCAGTCTGGGGTTCCATAGATTTTGATTACAAATCTTTTAATTGTGTTTTATTTTACTTTGATAATATGTATAAAAGTAATACCTTCTGAATCATCTGATTTACCACGTTATCTAATACTACCACTCCATTTTAGTTTGCATTTGAACTTAAAATCATTTTGGCTCCAAGTGATTACGTACCCTAGAAGGTCAGCATTGGCCTTATGAAGAGGTGACCATGTGTGGTCCTGGTGGACTGGCATGTCCCAGTGTTAAAGTGACACATGCCCCATGTCATTTTGGATTGGTTTGTGAGTTATGAAGTCAAAGCTCTTAGGTGGTAATAATATGTAATTGAAAGATTTTCATAGAATAAGGCTTGAATATTTTATTTAATAAATGGAGGTTTTGATTTTGATCATGAGGATAATGTAGGACAGTGGAGTTATGTGCTACTTTTGATTAGTGAGGAAAGGGCAGAGTTGAGCCTAATGTGGCAAGTGCTGTGTCTGTGGCTGGCGAGGCCAGGTGCTGCCCAGTGCACTGTGGGTGTGAGGCTTTGCTGTGGTTAGTATTCCTGTTTGAAGACATTGGGCTATAACTCGATCAATGGGCAAGATGCTTTCAAAATGATGCGACTGAGCCATTTTCAGTGTTACTGGTTTTCTTCATCTGCAGTAATTAAAAAAGTATAATATCAGATATTATTTTCTTGTTACCAGTTGGAATAGAATGCAGTTTTCAATAATGCTGCCTTCCAACTTTCGTTGTGAAAAGCAAGACAGTTTTATCAAACAACATTTGATTAAAATATGTTCACTGTCATAGAGATTTGGTTAAGTGTGTAGTCTGATTGAATTTGAACTAGAAACAAAGCCTTGAGGTGTTGAACATCATTTTGTGGAATGTACTTGCATAAACAGGCGTTTTCTGCATAAGTATAACTGAAGTCAAAATACAGACATGGGCCCTGGAGCCCATGGAGTCTTTCTTCTAATAAATCCAACATTGGTGATTTACTTTCAACAAAATAACAAAATCTGCCAAAATAAATTGTTGTTAATTTTGAAACTTGTTTGTTTTATAGTTTTGGTCATATGGTTCAGTAAGAGCTGTAAGCACAGCATTAGTTTTCTGTTTATTCATAAAATAGGTCAATACATAAGGGAGATCTGTGATTCTTCTTTTCTTTAAAATTGATTGGTCAAGTTTAAGAAATGCTGGTTTTTACAAGGTCTCTTTGTTTTCTGCTTTTTTTCCTTCCCCATATCTTTGTAGCCCTTTCATGATTTTTAATTGTTGAAAGCTATGAACTGTCAGTAAACTTTTGTTTTTTATCCCCTTGCTTTATTACGTGGTCAGGGCAATAAAGAGAGAATGGGACTCAGCACTGCCACTGCTGCTAGACTTTGGGGCTCAGGATGCCAAAACCTCCGTGCGCACCAGGGTTGGGCTGCTGCGCGGAGGCAGCCTTGGTGAAGGTCCGCCGGGCAAAGCAGCAGCCCTGTCCTTCCAGACTCAGAGTGCATTTGATTTAGGACCTTTTTTATTTTTATTTATTTATTTATCTTTTTTGTGAGGAAGATCAGCCCTGAGCTAACATCCATGCTAATCCTCCTCTTTTTTGCTGAGGAAGACCGGCTCTGAGCTAACATCTATTGCCAATCCTCCTCCTTTTTTTCCCCAAAGCCCCAGTAGATAGTTGTGTGTCATAGTTGCACATCCTTCTAGTTGCTGTATGTGGGACGCGGCCTCAGCACGGCCAGAGAAGCGGTGCGTCGGTGCACGCCCGGGATCCGAACCTGGGCCACCAGTAGCGGAACACGCGCACTTAACCGCTAAGCCACGGGGCCAGCCCCAGGACCTTTTTTAAAAGTAAAAATTAATTATTCAAATTTTGTGTTGAAAAACAGGTTTTGTTTTTTTTTTAAAGTTGATTACAGTAGCTTTGAGTTGAAAATAAAGAAAATTTAAATGTAAAAAGTCTACTCTGTTATTATAATTCAATTTATGTTTACTTTTTTAAAAAAACAGTTTATTTTATGAAGCTTTTCCTGAACTGAGGATGAAAAAGTCCTGGGTTCTCTATGTAAAGAATAAAATATTTCTAATGGATATAGTTAAATTGACTAATTTTAGCTTTTTCCTCAAAATGAAATTTCTTTGCCAGGACTTTTTTTTTAAGTAATATTCAGATAGGATTAATGTTAACATAAAAAGGTAAAATTAAGATGATGTATACTAAAATTCAAATTATTTTTCATTGTGCTATAATTTCTAATCAGTAGGTTGTATATTTAGATGTGGTAGTGTATAAACTGATGTTTCAGAGCCTTATTCTTCTGGTGTAGTTATCACCAGCTTGTTTGCAGTCCAACACACTCATGTTTGTGGTGTTTCCACTTTCTTACCGTTTTCTGAAAGTTTGATATGGCATATTCTTATCTATTGTAAGTCATTCAACACTTGTAGGTTGAGAATCTTTATGGCTCCTATTAATCCTTGGAATTTTCTAGGATAATAAGAGTTGCGAATAATTGTTCTGGTCCTTTACAATCTGTTTTTAATTTTAGGTCATATGTGGAAACTTCTATTTCTCAAAATACTTTTCATATTTTTGGAAATAATGTGTACCGATTAGCAATTACGAGCAGTTTTTCTCTTTTTCATTTTGATATGGGTTACCTTTATGTGTATGTAATTCTTTGAAGGATGTTTACTTAAGAAAAAGGACATTGAAATGTGTTTTTTTCTGTCTTGAATATACAAGGGCACTGATGTGAACATATCTGTGTGACTGCTTTTCAGTGACGTGGAGCCAGCTGTGCCCATGGAAGAGGTCACCGTGGTGGAGTCCCTGGGCCCCCTGGAGGAGGAAGCTCCAGCCAAGTGGGTGTTTCCTTCATTTTCCCTATTGGGTTGTTGGTCTTTTTCTTTACAATTTCTAAGAGCTCGTCACAGAGCAGGAAGCTCAGCCTTTTGTCATATCACAGACGGTTGATCTTCTTAATGTATTAGCAAATAATCGAACTAATTAATAATTAGTTCAAATAATCTAATGAATGATTATTAACGATAATTAATAGATTAAATTCAGGTATTCTGCCCTGTGCCCACAACCTCTTTCCTGTCAGCAGCCTGCATGTGACTAGTCTCTCTTTCGTCAGGACCCCCATCTCTTGTCCGTTTACTCTCTCCCAGGCCCTCCTCCCTCTTTTCTTCATAGAACTAAGGCCTCTGGTCCATCTCTAGCACCCTTGCCAAGTCTTTCCACTCCCTTGCCCCTTGCGTCTTCTGTTGTACTTTGCTAGCAAAACCCGCCTCCTGGATGACCACTAGCTGTCTGCCTTCTCTCTGCCTGCACCACACGCTGAGCACTGCAAGTCAACAGTGGGGCTGACGGAAACCCCTGTAGATTCTCCCTCATTAGCATTCCGAAGCAAGCCCTCAACACTGCTCAGCAATCCTGTTTCTTGGGCTTGTTCTTTCTCAACCCCCTACAATGACTGATTCAATCCTTCTTGTCTCCTCAGAGCCCTGACACTGCCCTGCACTTTCCCCTTCCCCATCCTCCCCATACCCACACCTCCTCTTTCATTTTCTGGATACAGCTTTACCTCCTATGTCACAGAGAAATTAGGAGCCATCAGATGGGAACTTCATTATCTTCCCGTCCCCCAACGTACAAACCTGCCTACACCTGCGCACCTCCTAGCCTCCTTCCCTCATGGTACAGCAGAGGCGCCCTCTCTCCTACCTATCCAGGCTTTGGATCCTGTTTCCTGCGATGTCACAGAAGTCTCACACGGTCAGTTCCTTCCTTTTCAGGTATGCTCACCTCCTTCCTCCCAGCTCTGCTCTTCCAATCAACATTTCAAACCTGCTCAATCTCTCCAATTTAAATCTTGTCCTCTTGCCTCACGTTCTCAATTAGCTACCTTTTTCGGGGTTGTGCATACTCTCTCTTCACTTCCTCCCCTCTCGCTTAACCCTCACTTCACTCCAGGTCTGGCTCTGTCCTCATTGCCCTTCTGAGACAATTGTCACATGTCTCCAGACCTAATGGACGTTTCAGTCTGCATCTTGCTTGACCTCTCAGAGCATGACTTTACCTGTTTCTTCTTACGCACACCCTCCTGTTGGTTTCTGTGAACCTGCACTCTTCTGGATTTCCTTCTGCCTCTCAGGTTCTCTGCAGGCTCATCTTTGTCTTTCTGGTCTTTTAAACTGTTGAGTTCTTCAGGGCTCTGCCATAGGCCCCCTTCTCTTTCTCTGGCGTCTCTTTATAGGATCTTAGGCATCTCTGCAGCTTGAATTGTCATTTATCTGCTGACTCCAGAATATGCACCTCTGGCTCCAACCTTCAACATGGGCTCCGGGCCTATGTATCCATCTGCCTACTGAACACCTCCCCTTGGACATCCCAAATGCTCTTCATGCTCAGCATCTCCAGGACTGAGGTTCACAGATCTCTGGGCCTCATTGGGTTTCCATCCTGTGGAACAGCATTGCCGTCATCCAGTTGCACAAACCAGGAACCTAGGAGTCATCCCTGAGACTTCCCTCTTCTTGACGCCCTGCCTCCCCAAAATCCAATCTGTCACTCTGTCCTGGTGATTTGTACCTTGTGATATCCACCATCTCCACTCACCATCATAGGCTCAGCTCCTGTCATCTGATCTATCACCAGAGCTCCTACTGGGGCTACCTGCATTCTCACCTTCTACCAACCCATTTCCACACCAAAGTGGCTTTCATACTGGTGTTCTGATTGTCATGCCCCCACCCCTCACATAAGACCCCCAGTGGCTTTCTGTCCTTTTTCTGTCCCTTGTCCTGACCTACACGGTCCTGTGTAGTCTGGCCCCTGCAGATCCCTCAAGTTCAACCACTCCTATGCCTTCTCTGGGTTCACCATGTGGCCCTTCTCTCATGTCCCAAACACCTTCTCTACCTCTACCCCAGGCCTGCCATCGAGCTTTGGCAAGTGCTGTTTCCTTTTTTTTCTGTACCTCTCTTCCAAATCTCCTTCACCTGTTTAACTCTTACTTATCCTTCAGCTGCCAAGAGGCAGGGTATCTAGTGGGTAAGAGCACGGACTCCTAGCCAGTGTGCTGGGTTCAAATCCCAGCTCTGCCACTTAACTAATTTGGGCAAGTTATTTAATCTCTCTGTGCCTCAGTTTTCTTCATGTGTAAAATGGGAATAATAAGTGTACCTATGGGCCGGCTCCGTGGCTTAGCGGTTAAGTGTGCGCGCTCTGATGCTGGCGGCCCGGGTTCGGATCCCGGGAGCGCCCCGAGGCACCACTTCTCCGTCCAACGTGAGGCCGAGTCCCACGTACAGCAACTAGAAGGATGTGAACCTATGACATACAACTATCTACTGGGGCTTTGGGGGGGAAAAACTGAATAAATAAAATCTTTAAAAAAAAAAAAAAAATATTTTTATAAAAAAAAAAAAAAAAATTTTAAAAAAAAAAAAAAAAAATAAAAAAAAAAAAAAAAAATAAGTGTACCTACATCAAGGGTTGTTACAAGGATTGGTTGGGGAACGTGTGTGTGTGTGTGTGTGTGTGTGTGTGTGTGTGTGTGTGTGTGTCTAGAGTGGGGCCTGGCATGTAGTTAGTGCTATATAAGTATCTGTTGTTATTGTTGCTTATTGCAAGAGTAAAATGCTACAATGATTGATGGTTTTGTAAAAGCTGTTAATTTACTATTCAAAACAACTGAGAAATGTATTTAATTAAAGAAACAGATTAACGGTTATTATATGAATATTTGGATAGAGAGTTAACTAAGGAAATAGATTAACAGTGTATCTGAATGTTGAGAAAGTGAGTTAACTAGATACCTTCAGGGAAAGTTATATCCTTTTTGAGCCAATAAACCATTTATACAAATTCAGGTAATATAAAGCAGAATATTAGAGAGTAAACTATAGCATAATTCTAATCTATAGAATTGATTGAGGTACTCTAGCATTCATAATATTAGACAAAATAATTCTTTCAATTAATCGGTTACTATGAGAGACAAAATAATACTTAATGACTGGGTGACAGTCTCAGTGTCTGCAGTGTCCTGGCAGAGCCAGCCAGCAGATCTCCCTATCTCTTCTCTGCTGACCCTAGTGGACAGTGAGCATCTAGTTAGAATGGCAGGAGCTGCACCACAGAGCAGCCACCTGTGTTATCTAGTGGACGACTGTGCTGAGAAATTCTTGTTTCTGCACTGCCTTGTCAATCTTTAAAGTTATTACTAAAATTTCTATTAATACAATTAAAATGTTTTGGTAATTTCAAAATTAGGCTTGTACGTGAGAAATGCATTCGAGGATGGTGACACTCTCTGATCTCGGCTTTGTCTGAATATTGATCTAGCACTCAAGCTTTCGGCATTCAGCCAAAATGTACATTCAGTGCACCTCTCAGTGTAGAACTTGTTGATAGGTGAATTTAATGTACACTTACTTATGTCCAAACATACAACCCAAAGTGTATGTTTCCTCACATTGGACACATTTTGTTGATAATTATATGTGCTATTTCCTTCCTTCCTCCTTTTGTTACAGAAGCATTACATGTCCCTTGTCACATGGTATTCTAATGTCCAAGGATACCTGTCTCAACTTCCTGTATTGTGCTTTAAGAATAAACCTAACATTTACTGAGCATTTGTTGTGTGCCAGGAACTACTCTAAATGCTTACATGTTGTAACTCATTCAACCCTTTGCTGCCCGTGAAGGAGAAGGTACTGTTATTATTCTCATACTGAGACATAGAGGTTAAATAATTTGCTAATAAGTAAGCAGAGCCAGAAGTTGAACCAGGTGTTGTTGCACAGACATTCATGCTCTTTAGTGAATGGTAGAAGTGATTAAAAGTGCTGTTTAGACTGACTTGCTATTAAGAACTGAAAAGGGGGGCCGGCCCCGTGGCTTAGCGGTTAAGTGTGCGCACTCCGCTACTGGTGGCCTGGGTTCCGATCCCAGGCGCGCACCGACGCACCACTTGTCCTGCCATGCTGAGGCCGCATCCCACATACAGCAACTAGAAGGATGTGCAACTATAACATACAACTATCTACTGGGGCTTTGGGAAGAAGAAGGAGGAGGACTGGCAATAGATGTTAGCTCAGGGCTGATCTTCCTCACAAAAAAAAAAGAACTGAAAAGGGGAGAAGACGTTGGTTTTATAAGCAGAGGAAGAGCTGCCAGATCACTGAGGATTTCCCTATTCAGTAATACGGGGCCACATCTCCCTTCCTTCCTTAAAAGTAAAGCACTCTTTATGAAAGAAGAATGTTGAGGAAGCATTATTAGAAAATATCTGCAATAAATTATTCTTTAATTGTAATTTGTTTCCAAGTGTGTTTACTTAGACAATGAAGATTATGTATTGAATTTTCTTAAAGCATAGCAACACCTCTTTAAAATTTTTATAGCAAATTTCTGAGGAGCTCAATGTTTATCGTAAAATTCACTTCTCTTTCAGTACTTTGGAAGGAAATAGGAGATATTATTTACCTGTTAGGTTGAATCCGCTTACCCCAGTTAAGTATTCAGTTAGTAAAGTTTTATTTCCAGCATCCACTTCTCTTGATTCACTGCACACTTTCAGATACTCAAGTGACAAGATATTGCCTAAATGGGAACTCTGACCTTTGAATTGATTTATATGTTTCCTCTGCCCATATCTTGACTTTCTTCCATCCAACCATATTTCTCTGCCCTCTTATTCCCTAAATAGCACAGAGGGTAAGTGTGGGCTTTGGAGATAGAAGGACTGGGTGTGAAACGTGGCTCTTTCATTTATTGTTAGCTGTATGACCTCTCTCTGCCTCGATTTTCTTACCTGTAAAATGGAGCTGTTAATTGTATCTAGCTT